TAAACATATTGCTACTAGAGATGTCTGAGATTCTGCTGCCTATGGTTTCTTCTAATATTTTTATGGTTTCACAAGTTATATTTAAGTGTTTTATCCATTGTTCGTTTTTTCCATGGGTATGGTGTAAGTTGGTAGTCTGATTTATTTTTTTGCATTCATCATTCCAATTTTCCCAACACCATTTATTGAAGAGACAGTCTTGTCTCCATTGTGCACTGTTGCCTCCTTTGTGAAATATTAATTGAACACAATGGCTTGGATCGAATTCTGGGGTCTCTATTCTGTCCCATTGATCTATATGTCTGTGTGTGCCATTACCAGGCTGTTTTGATTACGGTGGCTTTGTAGTCTAATTGTATATCTGGTACTAGAGGCCTGGAGCACAACATTTGTGCACTGGGGGGGTGTCCCTCTGCCCAGCCTGCACCCTCTCCAATCTGGGACCCCTTAGGGGATGTCCAACTGCTTGTTTAGGCCCTCTCACAATCCAGGACATCTGGCTCTCAACCGCTCGCCTGCCTGCCTGCCTGATTGCTCCTAACTGCTTCTGCCTGCCAGCCTGATCGCCCCCTAACCACTTCCCTGCCAGCCTGATAAATGCCTAACTGCTCCCCTGCTGGCCCAATCACCACCAACTGCCCTCTCCTACCAGTCCTGGTTGCCCCCAACTGCCCTCCCCTACTGGCCTGGTCCCCTCCCAACTGCCCTCCCCTTGTGGTGGCCATCTTGTGACCACATGGGAGCGGCCACGTTGTGCATGGTCGTGATGATCAATTTGCATAATACCTCTTTGTTACATAGGATTGTGATCTTTCCAACTTTATTCTTCTTTCTCATAATTGCTGCAGTATTTGCAGGGTTTTTTTTTATTTCATAGAATATTTGTTTTCGATCTGTCAAGTATGCTGATGGTATTTTAATAGAGATTTCACTGAATCTATAAATCGCTTTGGGTAGTATGGACATGTTAATTATGTTAATTCTGCCAATCCATGAAAATGCTATATGCCTCCACTTGTTTATATCTTCCTCTATGTCTATTCTCAACGTCCTGTAGGTTTCTAAGTACAGATCTTTTGCCTCCTGGATTAAGTGTATTCCTTTGTATTTCAATTTCTGTTGTTGCAATGGCAAATGGGATTGTGTGTTTAGTTTCTATTTCTGCTAATTCATCATTGCTATATAAAAATATCATCACTTTCTAGGTGTTCATTTTGTATCCTACTAATTAGCAAATTCATTTATTAAATCTAGTAGTTTTTTTATGTTGAATCTTTAGGGTTTTCTATGTACAGTATCATGTTGGTGAAGGCGTGGCCCCATTCATTGTCCATATGTCATCCACCAACAGCAATGTGACCTCCTCCCCTGGTGCCTGCAGTGAGAATGCAGGAAATTAGAGCCACAGAGAAGGAGCAAGAGCCATTCCTGGAGGCAGCTCGAGAGGAAATCCCTGAGCCCAATAGGAAGCCCCTTCTTTTCCCACCTCC